CCTCAGCCTCAGTTGGGGTGGCCTGGGCTGGGTTTGGGGTCCCCTGGGCTGGGTTTGGGGTCCCCCTCGGGCCTGAGGGTTTGGAGTCCCCTTGGCTTGGCTCGCTGAGGTGCCTGTGCTCTTCTCCCTCTTGCTCGGCTCCTCCCGGTTTGCTGTGCTGCTGCTGGGCTGGCTTTAAAGTAATAGATATTTTGTTAAATAACCTTTTTTTTTGTCTATTAGTAGATTAGAAATACAATAATTTCATAGTATAAAACGAACTCTGTGGGATATTTGTCGACCTTTACAGTTATGGAGCCAAAATCCGTGCCCCACACGCCCTGGTGATGACTTTCCTGTTCAAGAGTGGGAGGTACAAACTCTAAATCTGTGTTTTGTGTTGCTGCTTTGAATATTTTCATCACAGCTGTCTGTTTTCCATGTTTCTAGGGGGTTTAAAAAGCAGAAAAGTGTGTGAGCCATGGTTGAGCCTTGCACTGATATGAAATACACACAAATATATATAATTGAGGGATTCAATCACTCATGCAATGGTTGATGAGGACAGAGGGAGAATTAACAGATGCCAACAGCAATGTTCTGTGCTGTGTTGAAATATGGGAACTCAGGCTGTAGCAGTGCATGTTGTGCCTTTCCCTGAGTGCCTGAGGTTTGCGTTTAGCAATAAAAAAGTTTGTATTTAGCAATAAAAAAGTTTTTAAAGGGCTGCTTGAATAGAGGGAAAATGGAACCCAGTCCGCAGTCTGGGTAGGGCTGTGCTCTGATCAGGGAATTTCTCCTGCTTCCCAAGACATTCCTGGGGTGCCCAAACCATCAGTGTAGGTGGGGAGTGCAGGATTTTGCCTTTTCTCTCCTGTAATTGTCTCTTTCCCTCAGTTTCAGGGAGAAGCTGAAGTCCATTGCCCAGGCCACGTACGCCCACTCCCGGAACCTGGCTTATTTTGTGTTCACCTACAAAGGGCTCCTGGCAGCCCAGTCCCAGCTGCAGGGGAAAAAAATCCCATTCCATTCCTTCCTTGCAGCCTGCATTGGGGGCTGGCTGGTGTTTGGTGACAACAATCCCATCAACAGCCAGGTAAAGGCACTTGCTGAAAGTTTCTGTGGCCAGGAAAAACAAGAGGTGTGCCAGGAACTGAGTGGGGCTCCTGTTTCTCTGGTGGTTCTGACCAGAGCATTGCTCTTTTTTTTCATTTCCTCTGCACAAATTGCAGTTGTGACTGCTCTGCACTCAAGTCCCAGGTGTGGCTGTGTGTTTCCATGAGCAGTGTGGGTGCTGGAAGCCCAGGTTTGCCTCCAGGGCTGCACTGGCTTTGGAGGAAGGCAGTCAGGTAACCCAGAGCTGTGGGGTTATCCCACCTGTCACTTGTGGTCACTGCCTGTGTGTTCCTGGTGTGGCCATCACAGGGTTAAACTCTTCAACTGAAGTGTTGTGAGTGTAGGACTTGGTCAGATAGAGCTGGACTGAGCTAAACTGGTTAAACTGGCAACTGAACTGGTTAAACTGGCAACTAAACTGACCACTAAACTGGTTAATCTGACAGAAAAACTGACCACCAAACTGGCAACTAAACTGACCACTAAACTGATTAATCTGATGGTTAAACTGACAGATAAACTGACCACTAAACTGGTTAAACTGGTAGCTAAACTGGTTAATCTGACAGATAAACTTGCCACTAAACTGGCCGAACTGTCGACTAAACTGGCTAAAACTGACCACTAAACTGGTTAAACTGACAACTAAACTGGCTAAACTGATCACTAAACTGGGTAAACTGGCAATTAAATTGGGTAAACTGACAGCTAAATTGACCACTAAACTAATTAATCTGACAGCTGAACTGACCACTAAACTGACAACTAAACTAACTTAACTGGTTAATCTGACAGCTAAACTTACCCCTAAACTGGTTAAATTCACCCCTAAACTGGTTAAACTCACCACTAAACTGGTTAAATTCACCCCTAAAGTGGTTAAACTAATGAAAACTCCTCAGAGGGTGTTTGATTTAAAGCTGGCTGTTAACACACAGTCACAAAGCAAGGAGTAAAACACAGAGCTGCAGATTAATCCCAGGTGCTTGATT